CAATGCATTAGAATGTGAAATGTCTGTAGAGAAGGAAAGCAAACTGTGAGTGTAATCTGACGCCCGTTTCCTATTTTTGTGCTACGGCTGAGAAATGTTAACAGCTTCACTTCTCAGCCCCCTCATATTGCATATATGACTACACCTTGTGTCTTTAAAACAACCACATGCCCACCGCGACATTCATGATAACATACAATGGGAGAAACTTCATCGGCTCACAGGGTAACAATTTGTATCTATTTGGCACTGTTGTTGGCCTTTAAGCAATTGATATCTGAACACAAATTGTGCAGCAAGGTTAATTAACAACAAAACAGTACAGTATTCTCAGCCATATATTCCTTATCCTCTGCAAAGAGTGACTGAAATTACCGCTGTACTGAGAAGCCAAGAGAGGAGCTGAGTCTCCAATACAGAATGGGATAAGACATGATTTGAACTGGAAGGAAATGATTTGTCTTTTTTTGTCTCATGCATAAGTCGAACTATTCAAGAATTGTACAGTAATTAAAACATGAAACTTGTACTGTTAAAACATGACATTTATCAATAAAATGTGAAAACATACGACAATTAGCACATGAAACACATCACGTGTTTGTGCTTTGGTGTGGAAGCAATACACTTCTGTAAATTTGAATGTGGAGCTATCAAAAGGAATACATTAATTGACATGGACTGATTATCAAATTTATTGACAACAATTTCAATAATAAAATAATCATTTAGAGCCATTGTTTAACTTATAATTGTCCAAATCCTGAGCCTCTCATCAATAATTATTCTCTGATTTCTGTAGTCCTTCATGAAAATAGACTGGTTAGCTTTTGTGTTTCATCAAAATAAGACAATCGCGTACATTGGCTTTTACTTGGAGGAAAAAAAAAGACAAAACCAGTAACTGAAATCACTACACAATATCAAATAAACAATAATAGTTGGTTAACAGTATTTAGGGAGAAAATGTCGTTGTCATCCGCTTTAACCCAAAATAAAATTGTATCCAATTAATCAATGGAATAATTGATAGAATAATTCATTCTAAAGTAGTGACAGCCCTACTTGAATTCTTGCTATGCTACTGCACTTCAATGTTGGTCATGATTGTGGTACACTGAAAGAAAAAGTACTTGACTTTCAGTTGCATATGATGAAAATGTATTAAACGCTTATCATTGCATGGGAAAATTACATCAGTTTACCACATTTTAATCACGCGCAACCGATGTACATGTTTGAATTAAATAAATCCAAAGGATCTTTTTTTTTTCCATTGTATTAAAAGAGTCAAGTATTTTTTCAAGTGGTACTAGGTTGGAGTGTTTAAGAAGCACTAATGTAGATGAATCAAACAAGCATGTTTGCAGACATGCTCTCCACTAGATTCTGCTTGTCTGCCATTATTCATGCAGTCACAAACGACAGACTGGATGGCCTAACATTTCAGTTGCTTTCACTATGCAGCATTTGTTTGTCAGTCACTCTCTGCCCAGGCCTGTGCACTGTGCTGGGAAGCCATTCTAACACATTGACCCTGAACTGGGAAGCCAACGGTATGCAGGGAGGTTCTTTCTTATCTAATAACAAAACATGACATTTCTTCTCCAAGATGTGCAACTTGGACTTGGGAACTTGTCAGAAGCTTCAACAGAATTTCCGGAACTTTGCATGGGAGGTCAAGCCAACCTTCATCTATTTTTCTGTCAAGCAAATAGCTTTAGTTTATTGTCTTTTAGTGGGGCAGCGTAGGGTCACTAATGGTTGAAAATGCTTATTTGTAGGTGCCAAGCGACCAGTCTAGGGTGTACTTCAATTCCTCTCCCCAAAAGTCAGAATGGGATAGGTTTAAGATCACCTATAACCCTAATAAGGAAACGAGCCCTGCTCTTTTCAACAAGAATTGCGTGGTCAGCAGTCCAAAGGATAAGATATTACTCAGCTTCTAAAATTTGCACCCACGTCCTATAAGAAAACGGATGGATGTCTAGTGACAAGGATTATTCTGTTGTGTTCTCCCGATAAGACGGTGCTCAGCAGCAAACTCCTCGGTTGGAAACTTGCAAATGAATGGCAACAGCACAGTTTACCGTTAATACAAATGTTGTCGAATACACGTCGGGAGGGAAAAATAAATGACTCGCTCCTGTCCTCAGGTGGTTAAATCACGAAAGTGCCATACCAAAAATAAAAGGACATGAAACTGACTGCGGAGCCGCTTTGGAAAGTCGAATGTCCTTACCTTTACGCCAATTTACTTTAACTCTTGTTGGTATTCGTCACTAGGTCAAGGGGAGAAGAAAATGGGTTTGCTTTCAAATGAATCCGACTCCACTTATCCGAGCTAACGTCATTGCACGACGGGGAACATCTATTAACTTTCGCTTGCTTTTTTCTCTCGCACTCTGTTTCGCTCTCTTTGTTTTTTTTCCAGTTCGTGTCCTTGATGAGAATTCAGCTGACCTGTCCTGCAAGTACTTCCGAGTCTTCTCTCTTGGAAAGTCAAATCCTTAAGAAAAATTTGAAGGGGCCTCTGACGTGCTTAAACAGCGACCAGCGTTGTAAAAGTAGCCTCTTACTAATTAAAACTCGGAATCTTATTTATTAATGTATTTAAATAGTTACTTAAAAGAAAGCTGCCTCCAAAAGAAAAAAGAAAAGCAGAGGGCTCGTCCGGGATTTGAACCCGGGACCTCTCGCACCCTAAGCGAGAATCATACCCCTAGACCAACGAGCCACGTCATTGATTTCAATATTATGTTATATACGAAGACAAACTATGTGGTGCATCCGAGATGTCTATCCTGTACTTGGAAAAAAGAGAAAATATTTAACCATGGATGATTCATGGTGACGCATTCTGGCATTGTGCCCCTATATATGTATTTAAAAAGCTTGGAGCCATAAAGTTGCTTCTTGTCAGTTAAAACTACCGATGCAATTAGCTGAGTCGAAAACCAAATGTTATTGTGCAAATATGTTCACTACATGCAATTGTTCTTTGGAATAATGGTTACATATAACACAAAAATGAATCATTATTGAGGAACATATATGGTAATTGCCAGACCTGATGGATGACAATGGCGCTTGATTGACATAGGTTAAGTTTAGAAACTAACTTCAATTCCTCAAAGTGTGACTTCAGTAAAGTATTAAAGGCACTCCCTCCTCATAATTTGTCTCTATGACTAGAGAAGTAATGAAAATCAACAAATAAGATCCTCTGATTCCACGGTTGTTGATCTTAGATTAAAAACAAATGTAAAGATAAATAAAGACAAAGAAAATATCTCAAAAATTCTATTTCCTGATGAAACAAAAACATGATTCATAGTGAATCTGATAAGACTACAATAAACAAGCTAAGAACAATGTATTTGACACTCCCAGTACCTCCTAAAAAAATACATTTTGAAATTATGAATAATATTTACCCATCAAAAGAATTATTGAGATCACACTTCAATATTGAAGATGATGTCTGCTCAATCTGTAACAATGATACTGTAACCACTGATCATATGCTCTTCTCTTGTACAATAAATAGGACTGATGATGAAGCAACGCACTTCCCAGCATGCCTGTAAATAGCGGTATAAAGTACCCTTTATTTGCTTTGTCATAAGTGTGCATGTGATGTCTTTGAGATGGAAAAGTAAAGGAACAGAAAATCAAGCAGTCAAAAGAACATTGCAGATGAAATGGTAGGAGAGCCATATAAACATGAAGGTTGGCTTAAGCAGGCAGTCAGAGTGTGTTGGGGGATGGGGCGTGAGCTGTGGCCAACAGCAGCTCCTGACTGAATGTGCATTCTGTTACTACTTATGGTAAAAAAGCAACTCAAGAGCATGGACAACTGTGTGGTTCTTTAATCACAAATACGGGTGTTACATTGGTGTCAGAAGTAGAATTGTAGATGGTGACCGCACTCAGAGAGAGATATTGAAGACTTTGCAGCTCACTTGAGAAAAGAAGAGGAGGCATGGAGGAAGGGCCTGAGGATGGATGGTCCTAATGGGAAGAGTGAGCCCTGCCTTCAAGAGCAGTAAGCACTTCCTTCAGCCAGGGGTGTGTTGAAGAGGCGACAAGTAACCCCTGGCAACAAGAGGTGAGAAGCGAGACCGGCTTCCATAGAAACCATGGGAGACTTATAGCATGGGCTCTCAGAGTGCCCCATTGCTTCCACACTTAAAAATGGACATAACACAGCAATGGGGT